ATCAAATTAAATTTTTGTGTATGCCTCTCCAGCTTCCTGAAAGAACGTTCCCTGCAAGTGGCTGTCGATGGATATCTCTCAAGTACTTTTACCATCAACGCTGGTGTTTCCCAGGGATCCATATTGTCTCCATCCCTCTTTTTATTTATATCAACGACTTATTGGAAAAAAACAAGAATCCAATATATTGCTTTGCTGACGATAGCACACTTGTCTCGTCATTCCATTTGGATTCCAGGACATCGGCTACGGAGGCACATCTTCACCGGCAGCAGGAGGTTGCATATCTTAATGAGGATGTAGAAGTGATTTCAAATTGGGGTGAAAGTAATCAGGTTCAAATCGATGCCACAAAAACCCAGGCATCGGTTTTCTCCATAAAGATAAATGTCTCCCAACCAGATATAGTAATGTCAGGACAGACAATTCCGCTTTCTGATTCGGTAACTTTGTTGGGGGTTGAAATGGACACTAATATCTCTTGGCACAATCATATCATTGAAATTGCAAAGGCTGCTTCTCAAAAACTTGGAACACCGTTCCGAGCCTGAAAACTGTTCACAACTGCTCAGCAACTTTTGATGCTTTATAAAACTCAGATCCGACCTTCTTTGGAGTGTTTTTCTCATGTATGAAGCCCCGCCCCTAAGCATACCCTGAAGCTGCTGGATTCCATCCACAAAAGAGCCATCAGCCTGATTGGAGACTCAAAGATCACTTGCAACCTTGATAGTCTGGAACATTGAAGAAAGGTTGGAGATTTGTCTCTCTTTTATAGATACTTTCACGGGAAGTGTTCAGGTGACTTGGCACATTTGATTCCACCAAGAGCGGTACATATTAGAAATACGCGACGGACTGTGGCTGTTCATCTTTTTGAGGTTCAACTCAGTACACCTCAAACTTCACTGTTTAAGAACTCCACTCTTTCATTTGGAGAACTGTGTTTATGTGGAAAGAACTTCCTGAGAACGTTTTTCCAAATTAGTTTAATATCCAGCGATTCAAATCCAACATGAATCGCTACTTTCGTACAGGCACCGCTCTTAGAGCGCCTTAATGAGTTTTCTGTAGTGCTCGGGTTCTTTACTTGAAAAAATTGAAAGGAATTTTGTTATTAACCGTTAACTCGTCACTGTTTGAATAATAGTAACAGTTTTCAAATAAATTGTCATTTTGTGACAATTTCATCATGAAAAAGTATGAATTTTCATTACTAGGAGTGAAAATTAGATTTATCGACAATTTTTGTCAATCATATCAATGTTGAAAATGACCTAAACCCTTCAAAAAAACGTTTTAGTTTGCAAGCAGTAAAAATGTTTTGTTTTTATTAAATTTGAAAGGCTTTGTTTTCAAATATAAGTAGAATACGAAGAATTATTTTTCCGGCAATTCACCGAATCGGTATGTAGTGGAATTTACACAAACACAATATTGGTTAACAGGTTATAGATACCCACTGAATCAGCAATAATGATGAGGTACTGACGTTTCCAAGAAAGTTATTGTAGTGGTCAAGAATCTAATTAACCAGAAAACAAAGAGAATCATTATCGAGAAAGTGAAACAAAACACTACACCGATAACAGTAATTTTGCTAATAATGATGTTACAACCTACATTTTAAAAATTGTACCATCTTGGTAAAGAGCATTACATATTAGTATTGTGCAACAATTTTCATTCGTAATTCTAAACAATGCCATTTTCTTTCTAAAGGTAATGACTTGTTATTTCTTTCTTTGCAGGTTGCAATTAAAATAATCGATAAGTCGCAATTGGATGCCAGCAATCTTCAGAAGGTGTACAGAGAAGTAGACATAATGAAGAGATTAGATCATCCGCATATTATAAAACTTTATCAGGTTAGTAATTTGTTCCTTCTGAAGAACATATGGAATGATCTCTTATCTTCCATAAGTGGCTCTCGTACATACATTAAAGTTCGATTAGGTGAAATTATCATTTTCTGAATTATTCATTGTCACCGTTACGCTTCCACAGCATGGATACAAAATGTCAGATCTGTGAATCTGAAATTGCAACTGTTATTTGTAGATAATAATTTATGTATACATGGTGGACCAACCAGCAATTCTAATCACCGCTAGAGCTGATGTTCTACCAGTCTTTGGTACACCAATTACGGTCTTTGATAGACGAATTGAGACCAAAGAATAACAAACATAAAACCTTGAACCGTTCAGTCCATGAAATGAGAGCTTAATCAAAGTTCCAACTTTTGGGTGTGTTTGACAGACAATACATTGCTTTGCTGACCGGTCTCGTCACTCCGTTTGTATTCCAGGACATCGGCCGTGAATGCACATCTTCACCGGCAGCAGGAGGTTGTATATCTTGATGAGGATCTAGAGGTGATTTCAAATTGGGTGAAAGTAACCAGGTTCATTCAATGCCACGAAGACCCAGGCATCGGTTTTCTCCAAAAATATAAATGTCTCCGAACCGAATATAATGTCAAGACAGAATCTGTCTCTCTTCCATTCCCGTTGCCATTCTTCCCTGACACTCTCTTTAATCCTCTTTCTCTCCCCGTTCTCATTATCTATTTTTCTCACATTCCATGTAACATTCTTCCTGTCCATACCCTTAGCGGCTTCTTCATGGTATTTTTTGTTACCTACGTTGTTGTGGTCATGCCCCGTCCGCCATGTGATCTGGGTTCGTACTCCCCTTGCACTGAATCACCGCCCCCTTTTATTCTTCACCCGTCCTGCTTTTATCAGTACCACAGCCATGGCAGAGGCACTAATTAAAGTCACGCTCTCATCAATGCTCCACATATTGATCACTCTTTCGATTGCAATCAGCTCTGCCTCATTCACGCTGCCCTGTCTGGTGATCCTTTCATTTCCTGTTATCCATTCACCCTCCCGCCTTTGTACGCCCAGCATATTCCCAAAATTCTAGCCTCGCTCTGGCATCCCCATGCACTACAGTCATTCCTTCGTCCTTCATCCCCTTCAGCAACATGCCTTGCAACCAAGGGACTCTGTCCTCAATCTTTCTCACCCCATTCACTCTCCATTCTAGGTATCTGGCCCACGTTTCTAGTGTGGTCTTTCCTGATATTACCCTGAGCGTGGCCAACGGCGTCGTCCTTTATGCCCCACACGAGGCAATCAGGAGAGGCATCTGTGCTGCACTCCACTGTCCCCTCACCCTGCTATCATGCACCCTATTCCTCCACACTTGCACACCATACCCATTTGTATATCATCCTCACATATCTCAAATTACACAATCTCTCATCAGTCCAGCATTCCGCCCGGTCCACCTTCCCAGTTTCCCAGCCAGTTCGCCCAGTTCTTTCTGCACTTCCTTATGGTGGTCTATAAAAAATAACCCTGAGTCCACTACAATTCCGAGTTATCTAATATTAATTTTCAGTTCTATCATCGCTGAATCATCATGGGCAAAAGTTTGGTCTGTTGAAAGACAGTTCTTCGAAGGGTGAATAAATGCCTTGGAGTGAGCCAATCCTGGATGATTCCGCCAGAACTCCATAAATTTTCTTGCCATCCAGATGTTCAGTGTTTGTTTGACAAAGCCCAAAACGATGCCAATGACAGGTTCTGGTCCTATGAAGCCGCTTGCAACACCCTCCTTTGCAAGAGAGTCAGCAGCTTCATTGCCTTCCAGGCCAGAGACAATCTGTCAAGTCTTCCTATCGAAGAGAGTCGTTTTTGGCAGTTTGCTACCAATTTAAACGTTACTCGGTAGGAGCCAAGAGCTTCTAACGCCGCTTGACTGTCCGAGAATACTTTTATTGACTTGTGAGTGAGGTAGAATTTTTTCAATCTCTCCGCACACAATTCAATAGCGTAAATTTCCGCTTGAAATACAGTCGCATAAGTTCCTAGGCAGGTAGATAACTCTATCCTGGGTCTGCGACTGAAAATACCTGCACCAGAACCGGAAGGTGTTTTTGATCCATCTGTGAACCAACAACTATCTGTCCTCAATATTTCCTTCTCCCGGAAGATCATGTCCTCTCTACTCGGAAATAGTACTTTATAAGGCAATTCGTAGTTGTCAGTTGGAGGCATAACGTCAGAGGTCATTTCCAGAATTCTGTGACTTCCAATGTCAACCAACAGTCTGTTGCACTCTGCATTGAATTGATTTGTGCACAAGTCTATATGCAGTCCATCTAGCTCCTTTCTAGAAAAATGTGGAGAGGAGGTAGATCTAGAAGGATCTCCATGGCCGCTGACGGTGTGATACTGATGAAACCACTTATAACCAGACAAGCCTGTCTCTGTAAACCAGAGAGCTTCGCTTGGGCCGTTTTCTGTAAAGCTTCCAGCCACCAAGCAATTGCACCATAAGTGATCATTGGTCTGACAATCATCACATAAATCCAATGGATTTGCTTGGGACCTAAACCCCAAGTTTTACCACAAATCCTTCGACATGTCCATAAAGACAGTCTGGCTTTGTGTAAAACTTTTTCCAAGTGAGCGTTCCAAGTGAGTCTTTTATCAAGGATAATGCCAAGATATTTCACCTCCGTTCCAAATGGAAATACCACACCATTGAGGGAAAGTGGCGTTAGATCGTCCAATTTCCTCCTTTTGGTGAAGGGGATTAACACAGTTTTGCTGGGGTTCACAGACATCTGCTCCCTCAGGCATCAACTGTGAACAACTTCCAACGCGCTTTGGAGGATATTACAAGCTACCCTTTCCAACCTTGCCAGGATGACAAGGTCATCTGCATAAGCATGCAGATAGACTTTTCTTCTGTCGAGGGCATCAAGCAGACTATCCACCAGGGGCGACCACAGAAGGGGAGATAGTACCCCACCAGGCAGCCCCTGGTGACCCTCAACCTGATAGCCTCGCCTTGAAGAGTCGTAGTTGCAGTTCTGTTTACTAGCGTGGCATAGATCCAGCCAATTATGGTCGATTCTATACCCTTCTTACCTAGAGACAATCCTATAGATTTAGGTAGTGCATTGTCAAATGCTCCTTCAATATCAAGAAATACAGCAACCGCAATCTCCTTGTTGTCAAGGGATTGGGAGATTGATATGTAAGATCACTCACAAAACAAACTAATCACCTTCATTAAGAAGATGAATTTGTTTCTCCGAATTTAGACCTATCTACCTAGAATAGGCAAAAGTGAAGAACCGCGGAACTAGGCGTCTATAGAAAAGTTCTACCTGAACTTTGATTTTAAGAGTTGCCTGGCGATTTCCAGCGCTCTAAATCAGATGCATGTACCGTCAACGCTGGTGTTGACAGTAACAACTCTAGTATTGACCTATAACATAAACGTTGACGTTGGAATTATGACCGTAGTCTGGTCGTTCTAGAGATGGGTTCAGAAGTTCTAGAAATATGTAACACGTAGAATGTGAATGTAGTCAGTGTGTCTTGCCGTCTGCTGTTGAATGGATGAGGATTAGTAGAATAACTATCAAAAGGGTGGCGAGAATACAGACAATGATTGAGGAAAGGAAAGAATGAGAAAATTGAATGATGGGAGAATGAAGATAGATAGGGGCGGATAAAGAGATATCAAAGAAATTATGAGGTGGAAGGAAAAATAAGAGATAAGAAAAAAGAAGAGAAATAAGGAAGATTGTCACATTGGATATTCTGCACGAGCGATTAGAAATCATGCTCATCTTACTTGAAGTTGATGTGAACTGGCCAACGAGATCGTGTGATTCGACCCTGTTAGACTTTTTCTTGCGTATGCGAATAAAATACAAATCACAGTGATCCTCAAAGCCAACATTACTCATGTCGTTGGTCAAATTCAGCCTGATGTATGCGACAGAGCCATGGTGGGCGAAAAGTTGAGTTATTGTGAGCGAAGCGAAATCGACAGCTTCGGATTCTCCTGCACACTCTCACGTACAGTGTGTTTTCGGCAAATATTGCGTTTAGCCGACGTACGGGTATTGGCCGATCGTTTACTGAACAGTGGACTCAAATGTATACACCACATTGCGAATACTCCTCTCGGTAGGACGATTATGACGACCGTAAAATGGGCGAAGCGCGCGGTACTTTTCCCGAATAGAACACCCATTTTATAAAACAATTTTATTGTTGAAAGCTACATTTGTCCATGGTGATTTGGCAAACTAGACAAATTATTTGACTGATGTAGCTAATAGAAGATGGCCGATATCAATCTATCTGTATCTGTAGACTAGGAAGGGTGAGTGTAAGCCCAAAGCACTTAGGCCACATGTGACCCATTGTACATCCTCCCGAGGAGTTGTCCTCCTAGGTCATCGTCCATTCTGTCCTTTCCAGGAAAGTGGACAGGTCTCTGAGATACATCTCCTTTATATTGGCAGGTGTAGGCCAAAACTCGCCGAGCACATACTCTCTTATTGACGATAACTCCGGACTTTCGCATAGGACATGCCTGACAGTTTCATCTTCCTGTTCACACATCCTGCATAGAGGTGTGTCCACTAGCAGCATATTGTGGAGGTGTTTCCAATCAGAAATCCTACTGTTAAGCGTAGATTTTTCTGTTCATCGCCAGATATTTCTTCGGCGCTAGCTTCCCAAGGTCGCCCAGGGTGATTCTGGCAAGATTGCATCCTTTGATTTCATCCCATCTCTTTAGGGATTGAGCATGGGTGTGACGTTTGGCTAGTTCCACAAGTGTCGAAGTCATCAGGCCGTAGATGCCACTGGGTCCTGAAATTCTTAGTCCAGCCACTTCCTTGACTAAAGAGTCGGAAATACGATTACCTTTACTCCTGTCGTGCCCTGTAACCCACCTCAGTATAATGTTATTATCTACCGAGGCTTCGGCTAAATCTTGGTGGTCCAGCCGCTTCCTTGGCTAAAGAGTCGGCAATGCGATT